CAAGTGTCCCATAGTGAAATTTTCAAACGAGCTAAACTCCAGCAATAAGAACTGCACCTTGCATATTACTGTCAAAAGCTGTGCTTGCTCATTATTTCAACCCGATGATTTCTTTCCATAAGTGGACTTCTATTGCTGGGTCTCGATTGAGGTCACTGTTGCGCTGGTAGCTGTGTGATTCATTGGCTATGTCGCATTCGATTTGTATTTCGTGATCAGCGCGTTGTAAAACTTTTACAGAAGAGCCGGTAGTTTCGAAGTGGATTCAGCAAAACGTAATGCGTTTGTTATATTGCTCTCACGCCGGTATCATCGTATGCCTCACTCACGCCAGGGAGACATTATTGGCCGGATATGTCATAACAGATGAAACAGCTGATAACTAATTGTGAAATTTGCAGTCAGTTTCACCAACAACACACGAAGGAACCGATGAATATACATGGAATACCAGATATACCATGGCAGATGGGTAGCATGCTTGCGTTCGGCTCATGAGGTCCCGGGTTCGATCAATTCGCACTGGTGAGGAGACCCAACCAGGTCGAAACAGCTATTCATTTCACGCTTCATTTGCTACATATACGACGAACACACCTTTGAAATTGAACCAAATCCTACATTACCCACCTGAAAGAAAATAAATTTTTTCGTGTTTCTTTGTTCTTGTGCATCAATGGGAATATTTTACGATCATATCAGTTAAATAATGGAAATAGCAAATCCGGAATGCTGTTTCAATTTTCAACTCAATCAACTTGAGTACATGGTTTATGCCCCCCGGAAATTATGCTTTATTTCACCAACCACCTTGAAAATGTATAAGCAACTTTTCAACCATGGGAGAGAGCCCATTGGCTAATCGAAGTGTGCAGTGAAATGGTTAATACCAAAAAGAAGCTTCGAATACTGAGGTGCATTGGAACATGGTGCTATACGAGAGCGGTGGATGGATTGTCTCAGGGGTCACCTAGTTTTCATATAAGTATTAAATAAGTAAACTTATCTACCAATAATTATCATATTTTTGAACAACTAACCTAAATTGTCAATGTTCTTCGTTCACATAGCAGCTATGACAGTTGCCTAACGAAAAGCCATCAGACTACTGTTGTCTTGATCACTGAATATTTTTGGGAATGAGGTATAAGTCAGAAAATTTTATCATTACTGAAGCCAATAAGCCAGTTCCTTGAGAAATTTCATAGAATTACAATAGGCTGGTTGTCCACAGAGCGTTTGTAGACAGTTTCATAAGCAAGCAGTTCCTCGGTAGGCAGTGTTTTCCAGACCACGCGGTGATTAAAGGTAAATCAAGATGGGCAGTTCACGCATTGTTAAAACCAAACGATCATATAAAACCAGCATACTAGGTCGACATTTTGCTTTTCGTTGGGGTGCAAATAGTACAAACTATCAACCACTGGAGTCTATTCTAGTTTAATCAAAATGATCACCAACAGTTGGATTTATTTTCATTGCAGACGAAGGAGGAATAATCTTTGATCTGTGTGGCGAGTGATTCGAGGGGAAAAAACTAGCTGCAATATTCACACTGTCGGTTTATACATACTAAATATCTCGTCAAGCGTGTGTTCTAATGTTAGAAATTCGTGGGCAATCGCATTTGATTTAAAGGGATCGGTGTTATTCGAGGGAATCAGGACCTCCAATGTAACTTATTCACCAGGCTTTCGAGTACCTAGACCGAATCCACTCATACAATGATTCATGCTCACATTCATGTCTGAACTTGGTGACCGATTTATCGATCCATCTTGACGTGATGCATTACCTTACCCGACTGACCGCCGGGTTCGTTCATTCGCGTCTATGACGCACAATCAATCAACGATCAGACATAACGTTCTAGGGTGGGGCAGGGAAACAACAACCCACCGAAACTTTCATCCTCGCTCAGTTCCTCTCAAAAAGTACCTTTGCTTGTTTACGGAGAATTTAGTTCGAATCGGACTGGACGGGGTTTAGACAGACCCGGTTGAATCGGTGACGTTAAACGGCCGAACCACCCATAATCTTGTGGGGTTCCCTTGGGATGTGATGGGTTAGATTCACTCGAATTTAAAAAGGTACGGACAAGACCTTACTCACCTCCACACAAACGTCTCCCTGCACTATACCATCCAAATACCTCGCCCCTTTGACACGGTTAGTCAGTTTGAATAATGTTCTCTTCACTTGATTAAGAGGGTTGAAACGTCGTCAACAAAAAATTGTCTGCGTGTTATCTTGTGACTAATCACGACATTCCTATAGGCATCTCATTTCTTAATTGAATATCCACACTATCTGAGCTTCATATGTACACCACAAGCTGCATTCAAGCTTTCGCACTACTCGGGTTTCGCTTGTGATGTGGCCAATTGATAATGCGAGCAGGCCAAATGACGATGGGAAATAGCGAACAGATGATAGAAGAAATTACGGAGTGCAATGGAACAAGAATGCATTGTAGTAATGACAGTGTATTCATTTTACCGTACCGACGGCCACCTTTGAGTCAACCGTTGCATTTTCAGTATTTGAAAGGATCACCAGCAACGGCGTGGTGGGTAATCTGCCAATGCCAGAATTCGGCGTGTCTTCCAACTTCATCGAGCACTAAGAGCGGGGAAAACCGCTTTATCATCCGAAATTATACGTTTTGAAACGTAATTTATCTACTAGTTCAGTTAACCTTGCACTTGCCGAGGTACTAACCCAGTGAAAAGACAGAGTAGTAGATAGACGAGTTGATCTCACAGACAGTACAGATTAACGAGCAGACCCCAAGGAATGATAAAGTATTTCCTGCAATAAGTGTGAATAGACTCCAAAATCAAAGCACACAAATCACCAAATCAACCAACCAACTAGCCAATCGAAAGGGGAGAGTGAATGAAAACAACAACACAGAAACCCTATCACAATACCAAAATGAGACAGAGAAAAGTGGAAAACAGTAACGAGTGAGAGAATCGATCACAGACCCAAAAACGAGATGTAGGTCTCGGTAGTTTCATAGAAAACGAGAAAAATTAATTGCACTCCAGGACCACCAGAAGTGAGGCACTCAAAATGAAGTAGCCGGGGGAAAAGGCGGCTGTGAAAGCATGTGCGGATGAGGTGGTGGTGGAAAAGGAGGAAGAACAGCAACTCCTGTCGCTGGCAATGAAGTCGGCACACCATACGGTTGGAGGAAGGGTGGAAGCGCAGGAGGGGGTGGCGGGGGAGGAGGAATAGGTGGAACAAAAGGACTCAGCTGAGTCACAACTTGCTGTTGTCCTGGAGCCCCGGAAAACATGGAAGACGGCGGTGCAAAGCCTGGGGGCTGTGACACGTGTGAAGGCAACCAGGGGCGGGAAACTGAGGTAAACGAACTCACTGAACCTACGCTACTAGTAACGGCGGGTGGAACGGCGTGTGTAGTAAGCGATGTAGATGAGTTCGGGATGATAGAGCTACTTAGGGATTCTGTTGCAATACATGGTTGAAAGAATGGCACGTGAGGAACACCTGCAGGTGGCATTGCTGGCCCGCGTGGCCTGACATGACGATAAG